ATATATATATATATATATATATATATATATATCAGTTGATATATATATATATATATATATATAATTGCAATAGAAAATACAGTCCAGTAAGTACTGTGTATGTACCCAGTGCATAGCTGGTAAGTACCAGGTACATTTCAGGTAAGTACCAGGTAAGTGCCGAGTACTTACCCAGTACATACCAGGTTAGTACGATGTACATACCCAGTACATAACAGGTAAGTGCCTGGTAAGTGCCACATACATACCCAGTACATACCAGGTGAGTACAATGTACATACGTGGTACATAACAGGTTAGTACAATGTACATACCCAGTACATAACAGGTAAGTACCAGGTAAGTGCCAAGTACATACCCAGTACATACCAGGTGAGTACAATGTACATACCCTGTACATAACAGGTTAGTACAGTGTACATACCCAGTATATAACAGGTAATGACCAGGTAAGTGCCATGTACATACTCAGTACATACCAGGTTAGTATGATGTACATACCCAGTACATACCAGGTGAGCACAATGTACATACCCGGTACATAACAGGTTAGTACAATGTACATACCCAGTATATAACAGGTAATTTACCAGGTAAGTGCCAAGTACATACCCAGTACATACCAGGTTAGTATTATGTACATACCCAGTACATAGCAGGTGAATACAATGTACATACCCGGTACATAACAGGTTAGTACAATGTACATACCCAGTATATAACAGGTAAGTACCATGTAAGTGCCAAGTACATACCAGGGAAGTAAGTTGCTTTGTGGTACAATTAATAATTTTAGTAACAAAGAATCTCCATTTTGTAAGCTACCAAATTATTATGTTTTCCACTACAACTAAGTTTACTTTGCCCATTGAGTGTAGTGCTTTTTGTTTCTTCTATCCTTAAATTTCTCAAGTCTGTGCAGCCTCATAGGTTTCTTGTTGGCTTCTTCTTTCTTGGCTTCAACAAGCAACAACTTTGTGTTACCAGCACGCAGAATTCACTGAAAACCTTATTCAGTGACAATCACTTTATCTATTGTCCAAATAAAGACACATTTAAATTGACATGTTTCTGTTTTGAAATATATTAGAGTCATACTATTTTTGTCTTTGAAGTTCTCACATTTACATTTTTTTTAAAGGCTGTATTACACTTGTTTGTTATTTATGACAAGAACCAACAAGCTTTAAAGTTCCTGTGTTTCTGGTGTGAAGCACCCCAGTTTAAATCACAGCCACAGCTAAAACTCACAGGTGTTTCAGTGAGATTGTTGGTGGTTCTGGGCAGATCTCCTCTCTTACCTGATGCAGTTATCAGGGTCATTGTCACAGTCGGTGTTACACATGAACCGTTCCCAGTGCAGCCAGCCCATCGTGGGCTTCAGCGCCAGGCCGTTATCCAGAGCCTCCACGACCGACCTCAAACCCCCCAAAACCAGCAGGAGGAGCGCTGTTTTCTCCATGTTTTTACCCACAGCTTCTCACTTTATTCATCAGAAGCGTTCACTGTAAGCCACTGCACTAATTTGGCTTCCATTTCCTTGTACGTAAGGCCCGCCCCCCGCCCCGATGATTGTCAGGAGTATGGACCAATAGGATTAAAGTGCGTTTGCAGCTGACCAATGACGTTTAACGAGTGTTTTGAGCCAACACGGAAGCGTTTTTTTGTACTAAAAAAAAAAAAGTCAGGTAAAACGTGAGAAGTCAGGTGACAGTCCCAAGACGTGACATGGCACCAGGATTTTTGAAGAGTTAAATAAGAGAATTAGAGGTCCACTCCTTTTCCCGTCCACTGCGTATCGGTGACATCGTGGAGGAGCAAAAGAGAGCAACAGCAAGCCCAACTGGATCTGTGTCACAAATTATTCGTAATCTTTTTACAATAAATTAATGGAATTGATCATTAATGTTAATTTCATGGCAGCACGGTGGCGCAACTGGTGGAGCTGCTGCCTCTCAGCGAGCAGGTCCTTGGTTCAAACCCCGGTCCAGGGGCCTCTCTGGGTGGAGTTTGCATGTTCTCTCTGTGCATGCGTGGGTTTTCTCCGGGTACTCCGGTTTCCTCCCACAGTCCAAAAACATGCATGTTAGGCTGATTGGTAACTCTAAATTGTCCCTAGGTGAGTGAGAGAGTGAATGTTTGTTTGTCTCGTTTGTCTCTATGTGGCCCTGTGATGGACTTGCGACCCGTCCAGGGTGTACCCCGCCCCTCGCACAGTGATTGCTGGACATGGGCACCGGCGACCCCCGTGACCCAAAATGGAATAAGCGGGTAAAGAAAATGGATGGATGGATGGTAAAACAGCTAGATGATTTATAAGGAAAATCATTGTGTTTAAGTACCGTAATGATCTAAACTAGATCTGAAGTCAATCAATGGCACACACAACTCAGAAGTCACACATAGGCCAAAAGGGTATTGCATAACAGTATTGGAATAACATATTTATTACCGTATTATACACCTGTTATGTAGTCGACACACAAAATGTTTACTGCAGACTCGGTGATACTTAGGATGAAACTAGCAGATAATTAATTAAAATTTGGTGTGGTAGTAGCTAACAGTAATTCACAATATTCCAAGAGCTCTGCATTGCACAACATCTTTGCTTCAAACTCTGTCATTAACTGTTGGCATTAATACTGTTTCTGTCGTAAATATCTCATGAACCACAGGACTGATTTTAATGAAACTCTAAAAAGGTCATCATTGCTTGAACATCTACAAGTGACTATTTTTTGGAGTCATCTCCATTCAAGATGTTCGCTGCAGCTAACTGACATGAGCAAACACATAAATAGTTCTAACTCGGTCAGTTTTATTTATTTTTAAGCTTGAATTGGACGTGTATGACTCTTTTTGACTCTGTAAGAAAAAAAAAGAAAAAAATATGATGAAGACTTGCACAGTGTTGTGTTTTTATTGTGTGTGTGTGTGTGTGTGTGTGTGTGTGTTGTGCCAAAAAAAAAAAAAACTTTTGTAGTGTGGCTTTTAGAGGATTTAGTGGTTTGGTTGGTAATCCAGTCTGGTCGAGAGCCATGGATAAAAATAATAATAATAAATCAACAGTTTTCTTACATTCACTGCACTTTTCATGCAGGTTGTGAATCATCACATTGTGTCCACAACAAAACCACTTTTTCATACATTCTAAAAATATAAAAGAAGCCCTTGGCAGACATCCTATATATATATTTTTTAATTTTCCAGTGGGCATCAGAATGATAGAAAATGACCCAATTTACTTTACAGGTCCCCGAGGAGTCTGTTTATTAGCTGCTGATGCAAGACATTAATTTATCTGGTGCTGATGCAAAATCAATTACAGACAGGTTTCCTAATTCTGCTGTAAAACAAACACCTTACCTTAGGATTCAATCAATCCAGGATGTTTTAATTTGCAAAGTTGTCAGAGAAATTCACCCACAGAGAGAATGATGATTGTTGCTCTTTTGCAATTGAAAGAAGAGCTTTATTTGAATAAAGCTGAGTACTTGTTTTTAGTTGCATAATTTGTTCTGTCCATTATTTCTGCAAATATGTGAATGATACTATAATTACAAAGAGTAAAACAACTTGATTAATTGTTCGCCTGTTAGACATTAATCCAACATCCAGCTACACATAATCTCTTTCTCACTGGAAAACCTTTTTTTTTTATATAGCAAATTGTTAAAAAGAAAAATAGTATAACAAAATAAAAAGTGTTGTTTTACAAATATATCATAAATTAAAATTCAGTAAAACAAGGGTTCTGCAAAAATTTAGCAAGTTGTTAGCAATAAGAACTGGAAGTAAAAACTTATTTAAAAAAAATCAGTTAAAATTAATCACATGAAAACTTGAATAACTAACAATTAAATATCCAACAAACTGATTTTTGTGTTATTTTCACTTTTCCTAAATGTTTCTACGCGTGATATCTAATTATTGTTTTAAAGAAAGAAGGGACTCACATGGTCCTGCAAATATCAGTAATTTAGTTTGATCAAACAGTGTAAAAATATATATTTTTTTCATTCAACCTTTATTTATACAGGCTGGTCTCATTGAGCCATGATGACTCATTTACAAGAGGGACCTGTTCCAGACAGAACATAGAAAGCACAGACAACAGCAGCAAACAACAACAATAAACTAGAGTAAAAATGCAGTAAAAATAAAAGTAGTGTATAAACCAATAAATCAGGGTGTCATAAGACAGGGTCAAATACTAAAAACAAGAACGTATTTGCTTTGATTTTTCTATTGATATTATCAAATGTTTAAAACCCCTTAAATAAATTAAGGAGCACCTTGTTGCAAGGTGTTCCAGGTTGCAGGAGCTGAGTAGGAAAAGGCCAAGTTCAGTCTGCACTGAAGGAATGCTGCAGGTAATGATGGCCTGAGAGTGCATGTTGTAACTGCACTGACAGCGTGACACGTGGGAAGAGATATAAGAAGGTAGCAGACCAAGGAGGGATTTATAGATGAAAATGAACCAGTGTGAGAACCTACGTGTATAATGATGAACAACTTAAGCAAAATCTATTTCTGAAAAAGAAACCCAGTTCACCACTTGCTCTTGTCGAGGGCGGATGCGATTCCCCTCCTCTCCCTCCCCTGCTTTGCTTTGCTGCTTGGTCTTGTCTGTGAAACTGCTTCTGAGCCTCTCTCTACATATCTTTCGAACCGTCATTTTTGCTATGGACCTGGTCAGTTGGTCTCTCAATGCAATTGATAAAATTTTCCTAACAATGAGACAAGCTTCAGGTGAGCCGAACTGCCGTAACGACACACACACATTTAGATATGTTTTGGATTCCTGGGGGAAGTGGAATGTGATGTGTCTATCTCTGCTGTCAATCGAGGACATTGAAGATGCATATATATAATTGGATTTATGATAACAGGTTTCCTGCTTTTTGGAATCGACTGGTTCCTGGTTTTTCAACATACAAAGAAAACAGCTGCAGCTAATTTGACCTGGTCAGGCTGCCGGCCTTATGTGATGGCTTGCTCAGGGTCTCGAGCACCCAGACTCAGTTTAGCAAACTGAACCATAAATTGGATGTGATTTGTGAGAATCGCAGGCCATTTGCTGGCAGAACGGATGAGATCGCAGGAAATATTCTCAGGCACGGACCAGCAGTGTGTCCACTTAATTTGGACATTTCAGAACCTACGTGAGACCAGCAAAGACTCAAGGCAGATATAAACCAGTAAAGTTCTGCCTGTCTCCAAAACTAACATTGTTTATCTGAATGCCTTATCTCAATGTGACTGGACAATCTGTAAATCTGACGCTCTGCACCCTCCCTTCCCACCAAGGAAGTCTACAGACCTATCAGGGGGAAACTGGCTGAATAAACATTGTGTCATCATTTTAGGACTCTTGGATTTTTACTGGCACTGTCCTTAGCTCATCTCGGCACCCCCCGAGAATGTTTACGGATCTCACCAGAGGGAACTGTTTGATTATTCTATTCTTATCAGAACTCCTACAGGGCCTCCGGGAGCATCCTTGGACACGCTCACCACCCTTGTCGTCTTCCCCTCCCCTGCGGAATGTCTACATTACCATGTGAATATGTGTGTGGGGTGTTTTTTCAATTTCATGCTATCTCTCATTGGCCATTGAGAGAGAGCCTGTTAGGATTTTTTTTGCCTGCAAATCTTGTATGTTGTTACTTTCACAACTTTTTTGTCTGTCTAAACAGGTCTCACTTGTAAAAGAGTCTTTGAGGCTGAGTGTGATTTATCTTTATAAATAAAGGTTGAATTTAATTGAAACTGGTCAATGAGTACAGAGTGCAGTGATGGGTACGGTAGTTACAACCAATTGTGAATCTTAGCGCGCCATGCTAGACAGCATCCAACATCTGCAAGGAGCTGGCTGGGGCATTCATGTGAATAATGTCACCATGGTCAATGGCTGGTAGGAAGGTGTGTGGCCTTTAGCCAACTGGATTTGTTGAAGGGTTAAAGTTTGATAAAAGATGTTGGATTTTGAAGTTAGACTTTGGCACTCAAGTAAATTGTTCAGTTTGCTCATTTATGACCAAATAAAATCTAAGGTACTAGTTTTTTTAATGGTGGTACTTGAAGCGCTTGGTCTTTTCTGAAGTGGTAGTTGTTTTAGAAAAGTTGAGAACCGCTAGACTAATTTGTGGCTCAGCCTTCTCCAAAAATTGGTTAAAAAAATCGAACCAGCCATTATAAATTGGTGAAACCCACATTATGACAGTAATTCTCAATTTCTAAAGCTAGTTGTATGTAAATAAGGGGCGCTAATGAACCGAAAACATGACCTTTCAGAGAAATGTCAAGGGGTGCCCATTTCAAGTCTAAACATTATCAGAAGCTTCACCCAGGGACAAGCTGGATACAGCCACATGCTGTAGTTCATATCAGAGCCAGTGAGAAAAGGCTTTGAGGCTCTAAATGTCAGATTTCAATTTGACTCCCCTCCTCCTCTAGCTGATGGATGGCCCAACATCTCTCATCTAAATACATGTTTTTTCTTGTTGTAAAAATGGGATGTCGCCCGGCGTGGTG